AGAGAACGACTGCGCGTCTACTACGAAGAAAGAGATCAGCATCGCAAAGACTCCAGCGAGGTAGGTCCAGGGCGCGTAAGGACATTCTTTCTGGAAGCCCAAGACATTCATGCGGAATTTGAAGGGCATTAGCAAGATGCCATCGACACTCAGGAAAAACACCAGGGACACGGCACAAGCCCAGCTGGTCAGCATCCAAGGCCAGCCATACTGAAACAGAAGTGACAAGAACTTCCACCTACCTGGGGTCATCCAGGTGTGCGAGAAGAAGACGTCGAACCGCTTCACCGGCTCCGACATCCTCCATAACCTGAGCCATGTGTGCCCAAAAAACATCGGTCTCCTATTGGTCAACGGGCCTATTCTCGCAGGTTACCAGGTATTATCGGAACCTGATTATCTTAATCAGGTTCCTACAATACCTGGTACCCTGGGTCTTCATTAGGGTTCTTAATATGGACTTTAATATTTGGGTGTTATAGGGCCAGGGTTTCTCAATCAGGTTCCTACATTATATGATAACCCCAACCGTCCTGTCTCCGAAACTTGTCGTCATTCTTCAACGAGACTCTACAACCACAGCTCCTGGATTTGGCGGTTGTGTCGGGTCTTGTTAGCATTAAACAAGCAACCGCGCTGGCCTGTCCCAGCAAACCATGCACATGCTGTAGTACTGCCCAAACGACTCAGAAACCTCATCACTGTGCATTCCTACATGTTTTTGGCGTGGAGTGTTGGGGTATATTCTTTGGGGCTGAGTCCCCAAGCCCAAAAACCTTCATTGTTGTCAGCTATGGTAGGATTGCGTAAAGTAGGATTATGTACACCAAGAGTTAATTCAAAAGGTTACCTACCCGGCTACTAAGTATTGCAGTGTACTGGGTCTGTTGGGTATACACACTCTGGGTAAATTCGGTTTTGACCAGACTGTCAGAGCCTCCACAGTCCAAACCTTGTGGTTTTGGACAGGACACGGTTTGGGTGTAGGGTTTGCTTGGAGGCCCCTTTGACTTAGTAAGTCTACTTAGTATCCCCTAGAAACCCTCTTATAATCCCCATAACCCACCTTACTAACCCTACTTACTAAGTCAAAAGGGCCTCCAAGTGAGGTTTGGCGCGTAGGGTTTAGGGGTAGGCTTATAAGGCTTGGTTTAGGGGTGTTCTGGGCTTCTGCCGGTTGGCTGTTCCCCATCATAAGCTGTGGTCTCAAGAGTATGCTTCAACAGCCCCACGTTTACACCACTGCATTCTGTCTTTTTTCTAAGAGCTACATTTTCGGGTTTGGAGTTTAGCATGTAATTACTTTTTAAAGGCCACCAAAACGGCATAATCTTGACATGTGGCTTCATACGGCTGTCCGGATCCATATCAGCAGGAGATTTGTGCCAAAGCCGGCCGCAGTTTCGCAATGTTCGCGTCACTGGAATACCTGTACTACAGGCTTCTGTTGTGACCATTTCAAGTGTTCCAGCTTTCTGTTGGTGGGACTTGCATGCGCAAAAGCCTGGCTAGTTAAGTACTGACGAGCTTTTAGCTAAGAGCTCCAGGCTTGTGCAAAGAATATAGTACAGGATCGAGGTGAAGTATATGGGTGGTTGTCAAAATTATGGTCCCTTTTTGGGTACCCTAAATATTAGGTGCCGTATTATATTATGGACCCAAACAGGGACCCTAATTTTGACAACCACCCATGTACCTAGGGTTTAGGGTGTATTTAGGATTTAGGGTTTAGCGGGCTGAGTATCCCAGCCCAAGAAGCCAAGAAAGGTTAACTCTCATGGTTGCCTCGTCAGCCTCCGTGCAGTTGTATTTAACGCTTTCATTTTTGGTTCAAGGTTTACCCCATGCCTAGATGGTTTAGGGTTCAGGGTTTAGGGTTTAGGGTTTAGGGCCACCACTATGCCACACTGTGTGACAAAAGGGACCCGGAATGCAAATCCCGTATATAGTACGCCCCATTAGCAGGGACGCCCGAAAGAGACCACTTGTTTGTGGAAAGAGCCCCATGTAGGCCATGCAGCACACACCAACCCAGACCCCCGGGAGGATCCAAAAAGTAGATCCCTTAAGGGGGTTTCTGTGAAGTACCCTTTGGTAGTTAGGGTCCCAAATTGGGGGATCTACTCTTTAGGTCATCCCAGGAGCACACAGCAAACCTAAACCCTAAACCCTAAACCCTGAACCCCTACACCCTAAACCCTAAAGAGGCTCGATCCGACTCACAGCTGAAAGGTTCAGGGCAGCTGCCGCTGCGTCTGCTACTGCCACTGATACTGTTACTGGGTTTAGGGTTTAGGGTTTAGGGGCTACTATACCGGTACTGGTACTATAATGCCACCAGTGCTACTACAACCACTGCTACCGCTGCTTGTACCGCAAGTCCCATTACCTCTGACACTGCTCTTTTGCAGAGAAGGGGTCGCGGTTCATACAAAATTAACATCACCTTCGGGCAACAAGTGAAAGCCAGGCATGGAACCCGTGTATTTACCACGTTATTGTGTCATTGCAACCTGGCCACCGCATCCTGCAATACTATGATCCCATATGTACGTACCCCAAGAATAGCCTCCAACCTGAAGAATTCCCAACGATCTCCACCTGGAGGATCATGGGACCTAGTAAGTAAGGTTATAAGTACCGAAATTTGGATTTTATGTAATGACAAGTATAGCTACCCTTATAGTACTTCACAAGTTACTAAGTCGTCCCATGGTCCTTTAAGAAAACCCTACAGAAACCCTTCCGGCCCCAACCCACCTCGCGCGACGTCTTCGTCCACCGTCAGGGATATCGCCTGCTCTATAATCGGTAGACTTCCAGAGCCTTGGAAGGCTGTGGGCAGAGAAGCGAAACCAAGGGATGTACCTTTAGGGTACATTGGGGAACCTTCGGGATGTTAGGGGTAATGCTGGGGACATATTAGGGTATACCGGAATGCATTAATGTAGGTACTTTGAGCATTCGTTGCAGCTGACGGGTTCAAGGCTACTCGTGGATGCGGGGATGTGCGTAATTTCGTTGTAGTAGGGGTCTTTGTATCTGGGTTCTGATTTCCAAACCTAAAGCCTAAACCCCGGACTGTAAACCGTAAACCCTAAACCCAAAACTCCAAATCTAAAGCCCTAAACTGAAAGCCCCCCCCATGTCTATACTGAACTTAGACCCCTAGCAAAAATTATAATTTTAGCTGCTTCTTAGGGTTTATAGTAGCCAAAAATTAAAAATATTTCTAAGTACCCCCAAGCTAAACTGAAAGCCCCCCCCCCCATGTAGGGGCTTGAAAGGCATGACTTTTTCCAAGAGCCGGTCACGACTGAAACATGTTCCTGTAAACCCCAAACTCTAAATCCCTACCCAAACGCTCGGGAGGATCCAAACAAGTAGATCCCTTAAGGGGTTCCTATAAAGTACCCTTTAGTAGTTAGGGTCCCAAATTAGGGTATCTACTTTTTAGAGCCTCCCAGGGGTCTGGGTAAACCGCAAGCCGCGGAGCTCAATGACTGCTTTGAGGTTCGTGAATCGCGCTTTCTCACATCGCCCGCTTCACGCGATGTATCACCTTAACGAAGGGGCCTGAATAATTAGACTAGGGTTTTGGGGTTCCTTGAAGGGTTCCTTAGAGGATTCTATAAGGGATCTATAACAGGGTTCTATGATATAGGGGCCTTAATAATTAGAATAGGGTTTTGGGGTATATCCTACTATCAATATAATAAGAAACCCCCAAACTTTTCAAAATGGTGTTCGCGGGTCGCTAAGCTCACCTGCAAGACTCACCCTTGCTGGCGGGTTGCTAGGTCCTTAGGGCTTAGGGTCCTTAATCCGTCCACGGTGTGTACCACAGTGCTCCCTTAAACCCGAAACATACATCGACGGGAGTTGCATTGGTTGGTCTTGCAGATTGTGCAAATACACGACGTCTCGAGGCTCTGGTAGTTAGTAAGTATAGTTAAGCAGGGCTTCGAGACTTTGAAGTAACCAGGGAGAAAAAAGTATAGACTTTAATTTCATAATGGCTCCCTTAAGGAACAGGTCCGAGTAGGTTTTCTTTTGAAGGGGTCTGTCTATAAGTGCTACTACAAGGGAGCTATAAGAGTACTATAATGTAGGGGCCTTTGGGGGGCCTTAAGAATTAGAATAGAGGTTCCTTTCTGAAGCGGTCTATACGGGCTACTATAATGGAGCAAGTAATATAGGGGCCTTAATAATTAGAAGAGGGTTCCCAAGGAGTATTATAAAGGCCATCCATTACGGGTTGCAGGGCTTAAGGGGCTTAAGGCTTGAGGGTCTTCAGGGAGGAAGGGCTTCAGGGGTTTAGTGGGCTTCAGGGTGCAGAAGGCTTATAAGGGTTTAGGGTTTACGGTTTAGGGTGCACGGGGCTTATAAGGGGCTTAGGGGTTCAAGGGACTCGAAGACTTTCTGTGCACAACGAGTCAACTGCTTTCTTGGCCACCAATCTCGGCGACACCCGCAAGAAGACCACCAGGAAGCTTTCGTATCCCGCTACGACCATTTCCATATTGGTGTCACTCATGCTCCAAGTAGGGTGGGCTTAAGCCCCGTGATGTTGTAAGGTTTGGGACTCTGGCGTTCTTTTGTGCGGAATGTAGGGACCTTAATAATTAGAATAGGGTTTTGGGGCCCATTATACTATAATCTTAATAAGGAACCCCCAGACTAGTATCGGTAATTATTCTTTAAGGCTCTTTATTACCTTGCTAAAATTATAACTTTTAGTACCCCTAATATCAAAAAAGCTAATCCTAAAAGTGATAGAGCTATAAAGTGACTGTAAAGTTCAACCAAGTTAATAAGGAACCCCCAGAATAGTATCGGTAATTATTTAGGCCCCTACATTAGCTGCAGGGTCGGTGTCTTCTTAGAATTAAACTGAGCGCTCAACTGAGGGGCTGAGTCTGCGTTTAGGGTCTAGGGTTTAGGGTTTAGGGTTTAGGGTTTAGGGTTTAGGGTTTAGGGTTCTAGTAGGGCTATATAAGCCTCAAAAGGTGAAAATGCCACATACCCAGCTACTACCTAGACCTCCGGGAGGATCCAAACGAGTAGATCCCTGAAGGGGGTTGCTATAAAGTACCCTTTAGTAGGCAGGGTCCCAAATTAGGGGATCCACTTTTTACATCCTCCCAGGGGTCCGGGTAAGTAGCCCGAAACTGACCGCCCTTGTTTAAAAAACCTAAACCCTACATACCCTTCTTTACACAAAACCCAAACCGGGGTCCAGGTGAAGTCACTGAGCGCCGTCCCACATTGCTGAGCCCCCACAACCTCCACTGGCACAGGGTTTGGAGTTTAGGTTTAGGGTTTAAGGTTAAGGTTTAGGGTTTAAGGTTAAGGGTTTGGGGGTTCAGGGGTTTAGGGTTTGGGGCTTAGGGGTTTACAGCCTCCACTGGCACATCCTCCTGCTCTTCGCAGCACGTGCTCGCGCTCAGCCCCATAGCACCGGAAGTGTGGATTAGGGTTCAGGGTTTGGGGGTTTGGGGGTTTGGGGTTCAGGGTTTAGGGTTTGGGCCTGTCGGCTTTTGTGTTCAGGGTTTGAGGGTTTTGGGGCTCAAGGTCTGGGGTTTCGGATTTAGGGCTTAGTTAAAGGAAGCTACAGGTGGGGAGTTTAGGGTATATAGGGCTTCTATAATTCTTCCATACGGTATATAGACCTTCTATAAGGCTCCTATAACGGTAACTACCCACCTAAAAATGTCCTAGACTTAGGGCTTCGGGGTTCGGGGGTTCGTTGTTTTGGGGGGTTTGGGTGTTTGCCTTGGGAAGATCCATCTCTGAGTGTTCTTGGATTTGCGATACCTAAACCCTAAAGCCTAAACCCTAAACCCCTAAATCCCTAAACCCTAAACCCTAAACTCCTAAACCCTTAAACCTTAAACCCTAAACCCTAAAACCTAAACCCTAAGATATTCTGACATTTCACAGTGTTGGATGTTTTGCACAGCTGGGCAGCGCTCGTAGTGTCGTGTCCTCTACACAGGCTCCAGAACCCTAAACTCCTAAACGCCCCTCCAAGAGCGACACAGCAGAGGAACGGGCATGTGGACGTGACACCGATTCGTCAAGCCAAGGGGAGTCGGGTAATTTGGGTAGGACATGGCAAAGAAGTCATAACTTCTCAAATCAAGCCCAAAAAAGTCGAACCACCGGTAAAGCAGACATGTAAAGAACTCGGCATCAAGAACCATAAAACCTCGATGTGGCATCCTAAACCCTAAACCCTAAACCGTAAACCCTAAACCTCGATGAGGCATCCTAAACCCTAAACCCTAAACCCTAAGCTCTAGCCTCGATCCGGGCTGCAAGTTGTCTTGAGGGTTCAAATCTTAGGGCTTGGGGTTAAGGCGAG